ATATTCTTATCTAATGAACATGATGATGGTTACAAATCTGAAGTAAAATTATGATTAAAACGTAAAACTATACTAAATAAGCAAACACTTATCTAGATCTAAATAATTTTCATTGTTCAGGAATTGTTAAGATCAAAATTTCGAAATAAAGAAAGCTGTGGTTTCTCAATCATTTGTCGATAAGAGTTACTTAATAAATGTCTTAGTTTCTCAGACAACTCACTGCAACTCACTGAAGACATTTGTCTATTCTTGTCTGGAAAAGTAGTAGTAAACAAGTAGTGAGAACGACTTCGATATTTACCCCAAATTTTGTAATCATACTGTGTCTAACATGTTACATAAAATATGTTGAAGATATAAATCGCCTCAAAACGGTTTCTTCTCTGTTCCAAGTAATTCATCCGAACCTATGATAATATTTCATATTCAAGTATCTCAATGTTTATGCTACAGCGTTCAAGGTATTTAGTAATATAGTATATAAAGAAGATACTCGGAATACATATTTATCGTCTGTAGGCAACATGCACTACTAACTACTCAGTGATGATTATTTCTGTTAGCTAAGTAATCTAATATCACAAACTAGCTAAGTGATATTTGCTTTAGTTTTCCAGTATGATTCACGAGCTCATATCAATCATACAATTTATGTTTGTTTAACATTCATCAATAATACGTACCTACATATCCATATTTACATAAAAGCGACGATTGTTTGGCTACTACGTAAGCGGCATTTTTAAAAGTTAGAAAATATCTGTACATACATGAACTAACCCAGACATATGAAGTTTCTCTGACTATTAGAACGACAGATTGTCCATTCAACAAAAACCTTTGGTAAAACAAGGTTATCAGAAATACAAAGCTGAATCAATAGGAACTGAACATTCACAATTGAAAACAGAGAAAATCATTCGAACGTAAACAGAAACTTTCCAATTGCCAACGAATTAAACAAATGTATCTTAAGCGCAAGAAATATCTAAGAAGTTAGAAAAAATAACTGGATGAAAAATAACTAAATTGAACAAGCCTATTGTTACTCTCAAAATTGTGATTAATTTTCCTCACGATGGATTAAATTATTTTATACCGAAGCTAATCGAAGAGTCAATCACTGAACAAATGATGATCGGTAAACTGCAAATGAAGCAAGGAATGTGAAGCGATCTCACATTTCTCGTCAGATGGATATTTTCGAATAGCCAAATTTACTTTTGACGAAATCCATCGATTCATATTTCACGCTTTCGCTTTCAGCTACTCTTTCGAAATACGTTTCTTCAATGGGGAATACATTCAGTTGCAGTCCAGTGTTAATCATCAACAAACCGAAAAAACATAACGTATTGCAGATATTTGTAGAATGGAAAATCACAATCTTTATGTTTACGGAGTGGAAAGTTACCTTTGGAAAAGCAGTATGACATGGTTTGATTTTCCCATGTAATATTACGAAAAGGCGATCTCCAGGAGATGAATAAGAAAAACCCTTAAGTATTGAAACACCGATACTTGTGATGAGTTTGTGACATTGCGAAAATACTCAGGGGTATATAATAAAAATCAACTAAGTATAAATAGTCGAGCTGAAATGCACGTCCAGAAATGCGTAGATGATTGCATAATGAAACAGCAATGTGACACATCTCAAATTTCTTTATTCAGTGTACTAGACACTTGGTGAATTTTATATTTAGACTCACTGTTAATTCACAGTAATTAGATTATTCTCAAGGATTCTTTATTATCATTTCACAGGCACGGTTAGTGTTCCTCTAATGACCAACGCCATCATTCTTTCAGTGGACATTAGATTAAGTGACAGCCAAAGTGTAAAAAATCGGACTGTTTGGCCGTTGCAGTTCGCAGCAACATTTGATACTGTAACCAACCTAAGCACGTTATCTGTAACATGTGTTAGAACTGGCTTAGAAAAACCGTCAATCAATGTTATAACGTCACAACTGTCGTTTTTCGCGCTCAGTGATTGCCCTGATAGGTTTGTTTATAATGTTTTGAATTTTACTTTACATTTCTATCGATGCATAATCGGTAACTGGTGAAAGTGAGTTCATTTTATGACCCAGTACTTCGGTAAAGCAATGGTTATTATTTTAATGAAGTAGTTACCAAATACATCACAAAAGCTTATGCATAAGCCTCTACAATGTCAGTATTCGTATAAAGTAAAGTCAGACCCTTTAAATAAACTTCCATCATGAATTTCGTTTTTATAATGCCTTTCGAAAGGAATCGGCCTAGCTCATAGACTACAGCTTAACTTCCACACATGTGAACAAACTTTCACCCATTACTTACTTACTTACTTACTTAGCCTGTTACTCCCAATGGAGCATAGGCCGCTCACCAGTTTTCTCCAACCAACTCTGTCCTGGGCTTCCCTCTCCAGTTCTGTCCAATGTTTGTTCATTCCTCTCATATCTTTCTCTATTTCTCGGCGTAGTGTGTTCCTTGGCCTTCCTCTTTTCCTTTTGCCTTGAGGGTTCCATGTGAGGGCTTGTCTAGTGACGCAGTTAGGTGCTTTTCGTAGTGTATGTCCTATCCACTTCCACCGCTTCTTCCTGATTTCCTCCTCCACTGGAATCTGACTTGTTCTCTCCCACAGTTCGTTGTTGCTGATGGTGTCTGGCCAACGAATACGAAGTATTTTGCGTAGACAACTGTTAATAAACACTTGTATCTTCTGAATGATGGCTTTCGTAGTTCTCCATGTTTCCGCTCCATACAGTAGAACTGTCTTGACATTTGTATTGAAAATCCTGATTTTGGTTTTGTTTGAAAGTTGTTTGGAGTTCCAGATATTTTTCAACTGTAGAAATGCAGCCCTCGCTTTGCCAATCCGCGCCCTCACATCTGCGTCCGATCCACCTTTCTCGTCGATGATGCTGCCCAAATATGTAAAGTTGTTAACGTCCTCGAAAACATCTCCATCAAGCGTGATTTGGTTGGTGCATGTTGTGTTGCATCGGAGAACTTTGCTTTTTCCTTTATTTATGTTGAGACCTACTGCTGCAGAAGCTGCTGCTACACTGGTCGTCTTCTCTTGCATTTGTTGTTGAGTGTGCGATAGAAGAGCCAGATCATCTGCGAAGTCCAGATCGTCCAGCTGCGTCCTAACTGTCCAGTTGATACCGTGCTTCCCTCCAGATGTTGACGTCTTCATAATCCAGTCGATGACCAGGAGAAAGAGAAAGGGTGAGAGTAAGCAACCTTGCCTGACACCGGTCTTCACCTCAAAAGAGTCTGTCAGCTGACCTCCGTGTACGATTTTGCAGTTGAATCCATCATAAGAATTCCGTATAATGTTAACTATTTTCTCAGGCACACCGTAGTGTCGAAGAAGCCTCCACAGTGTTTTTCTATCCACGCTATCGAATGCTTTCTCGTAGTCGATGAAGTTGATGTAGAGACTTTCACCCATACATGACAATAATCCTGATCTGCAGGAGGTGAATACCAGTATTGGATATTAAATATCATTCTACATGATTTTCATTTGCTTGTAAAAGCTCTAATCTTGCGGCAATCAATGTCAAGAACTGCAAGCGATCAATGTCTTTTGGCTTATGTGCGCTCTGAGCTAATAGCCATGATGCGACATAATGGAGATGTGGGAAAAATACACACAAGATTCACATATGAGGAAAGGGGCTGATCACTACCTGCAACATTCAAATCTTCATTAGTTAGTAACAATTTTTATCCATTGTACAAGTTAGGCCATTATAAACTCAGTGGATGACGCTTTGGTTGCTTGGGGAAAAAAGTAAGCGGTTCGAGATCCGAAGTAAACATCAAAACTGAGACTCAGTTGATCAGTTCCATATGTGGAGAAAGACCCGATCTGAATTTTATTACTGGTTACTGTCAAACTTTGTTCAATGTATTTTTATGATTCCCAGTTATTGAAACTAATGTACAAACCTAACTTCTAACATATACAGATTCAATAAATTTGTTAATTTATAGTGTATGAATAAGTTAAGTTCCTTAACTAATCGAGTTTGAAATATTTGGCCAACTATGACTTATGATTATTTATAGCCTATATAAATCACGAACTTATTAATTTGCTGTGGCGATTTGTTTGAAAATCAAACATGTATTGTTAAAACTCACTGGGACTGTGTTGCATCTGTTTAAACACATCTCTCGTCACAGTGTGCAATTGGAAGATTTGTTATTAAGTACTGAGCAGTTATATCACGGAAGGGTGACTGAAACTTTTCTAACCTCTGCAATCTCAAGAGATGAGAAATCAGAGTAAAAAATGTTCAGCCAATTGGTATATCAAAACGATAAGAATAACTGTTGGTTTGGCTACGGCTTTCATGAAATCTTTCGGGTATATTATTATTTTGAACCATCTTATATTTGATCAAGAGAACTAACTTTCAGTTTAAAGTGAATCCAAATAAATCGTAGACAGTTGAGTGACTCCAATGACATTTGACGCCATTTATGATACTACCAATACGACATATTGCATATATACCAATCATGTTAATCATTTGTATTCATATCCAACTCATGTTACATATTTTGGAAACATAGAAATGAGGTCTATCTTCAAACTCTGGTTCAAATGAACAATGGAACAGGACTGGAATGTGAAAGACAGTCGATAATTCTCTATCTCAGCGCACAAATACAATCAGTTGACCTATTTAATACATCTGGAAATATGAATAATATTTCACTGAAGTCTCCTATGAATTCGATCAGCAAATCCGTCCAGTTCACAGTGAGTAAAACAGTTTTGTCGAATATATTACTTTATATAATAAAACGTCTCCCACTTGTCAATCATAAAAGTATGATGGACTAAATAATAGCGTTCTACTGCATGACATCCAGAATATCCTAATTTATCACATCTAAATTTCTCATACTCGTTATTTTTCATTTCTATTTGATAACCAATGAAGCTTTATCTCCAATTTCAGGCAGGTCGTTTATACTTTGGTATGACTTACACAACTGTCTTCAAACTAAAGTATCGAAAGTCTCTTGGTTCATCCATAGTGAAATTCCCAGTTTTAGTTGAAGTTGTATGCAAACCGTATGAACGTGGTGTGTCCGTCGAGAATAGTTGTGCACCAGAAACTTTTTATAAGTTTAGATCCCATATACATGTTCGAGTTGACTACCGACCGTACACATGTGAGTTATATTTGTTCATAACTGTTAAGAAACAATTTACAATTACGAATCAGTATTTATATTTAGCAGTCAACAGATGATTCAGTTACTCTGTACTTCACTTATTAATTCATGTACTCCAAAGGATTTCTCAATATCTGTATATAAGTCTATGATTTACTTAGTAACCAATTAGACAACCACAGCCTTGTTTGACGAACGATGTTTGCTATTGTAGAAGTAAGTAAGGAGAAGCTAGGATGTCCAAACCAAGACCTGGAACCAACAAGCGAATTCAGTGACTGATTGGCTGAGCAGTGTTGACAGGTTCCAACTGACTGGTTGAGACCTGTGCATTATCGTAACTAGACGTTGGAGATATCGGTTGACACTATTCAGAATCAGTTGCATTTGCTTAAGATGTATTTCCCTTCCTTATCTTCCCTCAAATCTTGAGCTTGAGGATGATTTTAAACTTCATTTTTCCACGAATTCATTTTCTTTACCAAACATATTCACTGTGCCTGATGATTTTTATCTCTACTGATGTTTTTATTACTTTCACTATTCTGATATTTTTAGCTTAATTACTGGTAGAGTTGGGGCTCCTAGTCTATGCATCACTGCTTCTTCAATAAGTCCTGATCTTGATGATCCCACTGGTATTTATTTCGTCTATTCTTTGAACTTACTTTAGAATTGAAAATATAGTTCTAAGCGTAGATGGGTGAGTTCTAGTAGATTATGGCTATGGAGAATATTGTAGTGTAGGTGATTTGTGCCGTTGGTGAGGAGCTTGGATAAAAGTTCCTTCGTCAAGTTTGGTCTGACTGAGTTGAATAAGGCTGTTACGTTCAATAATTAGTCCTTCTCACTTATTATCTGTAGATAATTTATTCAACAATGTATTATGTGTCAGTGATTGTCTTCGCTTTCAGATCCATGTGACTTACCTCAATACGTCGCATTACGGAACTCTTCTGTACAGTTGCCTAATAGACAAACAAATACATTTCTTAATGTTGGTGATATTCTGTTTTATTGTGGGCTTGCTTTCAGTATGAAGGGTTCATTTGATTTGGAGAGCCGTTGCTTCAAGATTAGTAAATTACCTGAAAGAACATGGTCTGGTAGGTTACGAAAAATAATTTGTTAATCTCACCAACTAGCAGTTATTGACCTTATTAGAGAACCTATATCATTACAAGTATATCATCGCAAATCATTTTTAAGAGGAATACTCTACACTTCCTTAATCAAGACAACAGGTATAGATTACTGATAGCTATCGGTAAATTATCTTGAAAGCATGTTTCCATATCCGACACCACAACAACATGAGCGCCTCGTTTAAAAACTACGCAAAAGTATAACTATGCTTCACATTGCCAAATGAGTATTCGGAGGCTTATGAGGCTTCAAGTACTTTGGAAATAAGAACTAGTGCTTGTATGACATATTTAATTTACAACATGAGATGACTGGAAGCAATTGATGGAAAAGTAGGTTTGAAACTATCGGGCAATCGTCATCGAGGTGTACCTGTGATCTCGAAAGAACGGATTTTATCAAGAAATTGTTTTCGTTATATTTCTGAAGGTGTATTAGTTAATTTGCATCCATAGAATATGCAGTGTTTTGATATTTATTTATCTTACGGTATGAATCAATCAATCCATCTTCTCAGAAAAGGATGCTATTTATTGACAAATCATTTGCATTTGTCCTTTAGAACATTTTCTGATGATCATCAAATGGCTTTGTCATCTGGTAACTTATGATAGGTTCGCTATAATTACACACTTCGGTCGTTTTTAATTATGTTTATTAAACAATCCTTTCTAATCTCACTATCATTTTTAAACAATTACTATAGTGGCAATCACACTTGAACAGTATGCCATTGTTTAGGTTACAATTCTGGCCTAATTACCTTAATCATTTTTCTGACATGATCAACAAGTACAAAGTTGAGCCTTTTAACATGCTATTGGTGATTTTTGGAGATAACCGCAAGTAATTCTACATTTATTCCTATTATCCTACACTTATTCTACATCATATTATTTATGAATACAAATTAGTGTGAATTTGAATGTAATAATGCTATACATTTAAAACAATCTGGTCAACACACCTACAAAACCAAAAACAGTCAATTGAATAAATTGACGAATAAACATGAAGTGATAATTATAAATAGAGGAGAGAGAAAATGGTTTATTATGGAAAGCGAAGGAAGCAGTGAGGCCACTCATGGCAGATTCGAAGTTAAAGTACATTGTTTATGTACTTTATGATATCCAAAGCATTTGTAAACCTTAGAATTGGTCCTTCTCAGTTTCTACGCAAAGTTTTTTAGGCTGAGTTAAAGTCAGTCCCTTTACTCAGGTTAATTTTATGCTTTGCCATCGATGAACATCGTTTTCTACTTCAATATAAATCATACCCGATCGAAATTTATCTCCTTACAGTGTAAATTTTCATACTAATCACATAACAGAAATATTATTATTAGGATGATGCAAATTGAATTTTATCTAATTTCTACTCAATTATCAGACATGGGACCATATGTTGAACAGATTATAGCCTATACCAAACCACTTGGTGCATTGTTTGGAATGGGATCCAATAGTGCAGGGGTAGTGATGAGTAAGGATTTTGGAACGACATGGATTTCAATCAACTCGTTCGCGTTTCGATATGCTTTGAATACTTCGACAGAAGTCATTACTGCAAGTACGATACCATGGATGTCAGTGACAGGACCTATTAATAGTACAATTTCTGATTCATTATGCAAGATGCGGGTGGCTGGACAGTGGAATGGTAAGTGACATGCTGTCGTTAGTTCCATACATGTGTGATTTAGCTGTGACAGTTGACAAAGTCTTATAAAACAATGCTTAGATTAGATGAGATCTCTTGCATTTCAGGTTACATGAAACAACACATTTCTGTTTTGATGAACATGCTTGACAACAAACACATGCATTAAATGTCAACTTTGACTTTGGATTGGTGAGTGATGAAATACTTCCTCGATACGCAGTGTGGTGTTAATTGCAGTTACCAAAGTTTAGTGATATTATTTTGGCTTGAATTTCCTTGATTTTTTTCTGTGATGAATACAACTAGATAAATTATAGATCCTAATTTTTATTACTTCAGTAACTTGAATACACATATGCCAGTTGATTGTTCGTTGGCTTTGTTATAGAACACTATCCGAGGATTGCACTTAGTTTGAGATGAATTTGATTCTTCATACATTTCCCAAACTAGTAATGAAACGACTATGGAAGTGGTGTATCTCACATGCAAATAACCAGATTTCTACAAAATACATGATTAAGTCATGAGGCAGATACAACACACATTCATAAAAATAGCATACTCCAGTATTTTATGCCAAAATGGTAATAATGTACTTACTCAAATTCTATAGAGTGATTCTCAACCTGGATTTACATCACCAAATGTTCTTGTATTGAATAATCTTGTTTAAATTTTTACCTATATCTTTTTTAGTTTGCATCAACGAAATCTATGCAAATCAAATTTTGTTGGCCAACTGGACTGACACTTGCCCAAACAGCAAGCCTTTTTAGGCATTACATAGTCTTGACTTCAAAATGTTTATTTTGTTTGGATATTTGTAGTTTTTCAAAGTGTTATTTTATCTTGTATGTAACGATGCATTATTTAGTTTATTTCAAATCATACTCCGATCATATTGTTCAGCTTGAGAAATTGCATGGTGATAGTAATTCACTCATTTGTTTTGTGGTGTATAACGATTTTATCTGACAAACAACCGGTAACCTAATATTTATTAATCATTTTCCTGAATCATAAGAACTTGAAAATTTTACTCAGAATTAGCTTATTTTTAACAGATTTGATTTCGTCATAAATAATACGGTTATTTTCTGAGTTATTACTTCAAAAGTGCGAAAGCCAGTAATTATTCAATCACAGTTCGTGAAGCTGCTACTTTTTGTTCAAGATTAATATTTCAAATCCATAAAGGATTTTTTTTAGTTTATGCGAGCATTTCGGTTAATTCTTAAATATACAAAGCTAAATGAGTTTTACTCATACTCTTCTGTACAACATATAGTTTCATGTGTAACCTATCGTAACTTCAACACCTCGGTGAAATCACTTTTAGTGATCTTTCTTAATTGTTTCCTAGACACAGGGGAATCATTTTTTCGCCTCTTAATAAACACGATCATGTTTCGTTTTATTGCAAAGTAGTTTGCCCATTGGATATTAAGTCTACATGACATTGAAACTTCTCATCGACTAATATTATTATTTTGCTTATTTTGCACATCTTATCATACATAGAACGATCAAAAATGTCATATTTTGATGCCGACAGTTTTTAGGTTTATAAAATAAATTTTGTTACAAGATATAAAGTCGACCTTCAGATCTCGCTACCAGAATCTCTAAATTGACATTCAATGGTTTATACGTCCAAATTCAATCAATCCTCGATTAGATTTCAACTCAGTAATGTAAAGGTTAAGATCTAGATGCGCGAACTTAAGGTTTTGCTTTAAATCCCAGGTGAGGTAATAGATGCTTGCTGCTTAGCAGTCCTACACCAGCAAGAAACGGTTGTCACTGTTTGTCTAACTTTAATGATTTCACAATCTCAATAATATTCACCGGTATCCATAATCCCTCTTGTCACTAATAATTGAATAGGTAAAATCATTATCATTTATAAATAATATCTTCAATGAAATTCAACAGAGTCGTTCTTGAAGATGACCCATATATTCTTTTAGTAACAGTATCAGCCATGAAAAATCCCTTCACATACAAAAATTATTTTTAGAACAACTGGTTTTCTTTGATCATCTAATCGATAGATATCTGACAGCTAATTTACGTCAGGAGTTTACGGCTATTTTAAACTTTAAGTCTTTGCCTATGATAACAACAAAACTAAATATCCCTAATGTAAGAACTGACAAAAGTCAGTAATAAGTCATTGTGAGACTCCTAATAAAAACTAAAATGAATAATCGATGACATCGGTGTTTCCACAAGATTGTGAATCATAACTTGTAAATATAAAACTATAATATACAATCGTGAACAAATAAGTCTTCTACATTATTCTGATCATCCTTTTCCACTCGACCTTGTTGTTTATTATTTCAAATGAAATGAAGGAATACATGAACTTATTTCTTGTCATATTATTAATCTATGCCATCAGCTGGTGGTTCAAAATGAAGACGGAGTATAAAATGAAAGTTACTTTTAATTAAACTAAAACCATATTCCCTAGAATACTCTATGAGTTATGAAGCTTGAGGTATATTCACGTACTTACATACTTTTTCTTTGCATCAGATTTCTTCATACACTTGGCAACATCAACGAGGATTAACAACAAACTCCGGCCTTATTTCAAAATACGTAAGGGTTTATTTTATCTCAATGGATTCCTATCAACAGGTGCCAACCAGAATATATTAGCTAATAAATAAATAACTATTTTTTATAAAGAGTAGGATTGATTTTGTTCTATACTGATAGTTCACTTCTTCAAGATATATAACTTAAAGATAATTTATTTGCGATAGTTATAGTATGAAGTTCCGATGCATCTATTAGCGATTTGTAAAGTAGGAAAACAAATGATCTTGATTACACCATGCGAAATGGGACAGAAGAACTGATCAAGAGTCAAGTCGCTCCATTTTAGAATAAATTAACAGCCTGGAAAGGGCTGAAAATGTTTTGTCTAGACAACCAAAAATGTGAATTTCTTAGAAACATTTACAAAACGAAAGATTTTGTCATGTTAAGACTGGATAATAACTTTTCTTCTGACTAAATTTACTGTCTCTCCAGAAGGTACTGGAAGGTCAAGGCCAATCAAAACATACAAATAATCTTCTGTATATGAGTTAGCCATGAGATAAGGCTAGTGTTCTTTTCTCTACTGTTTGGATTCAAGTATAGGAATACTTTGGGGACAAATAATGTAACTCAGAAGTCATTACCAACTTACAATCCAACACTATTACTCCAAAGAAGAATATTCTTAACAACAGCCTAATTATTATTAACATTCCAGGCGAAGATAACTTTCCACTTATCAGCAATTCTATACTGAACATAATTTAACCTATTTCATTCTGAAGTAATAATAAAATATTAATTAGCAGCTGGTTAGTGATAATTTCCTTTTCTATCACAATATTTTTAGTTTGCAAAACCTGTTTTCTTTTGAATCACTAGCATAGATTTCTCTCAACTTGATGAACTCATAGTAATTAGGCTAAAACCAAATTGTTTTTTACTTCAAAATTAGGTTACGCATGGGTCACTTAATCAAAATCCTAAATTTATATCATAAATGCCAAGGGGAAGACACAGAATACATTTTCAGCAGCTGTTTCATCCAGTAAACGATGGTATTCACATGTGTTTTCAGTTGAGGTAAAGATCGTGGGTTTGTCGAATTTGTCGAATTCCTGAAAGAAACAAGAATAATCACTTGTTCGGTATTGGGAAATGATGTTTCAGCTTAGGTAAAGACCGTATCTTTCGACAATGATTTTCTGTCGAAAATGTTAACTCCTGAATGTGTCATTAAAATAATGCAAAATGTTAAGAATTACAGATAAACATATATGGCAAATGATGATTTTCATATCCAATTATCACTCACAATCAATGTGGTATTTCGAACATATTTACATTTAATAACGACTACAATGATCGTAACATGAATGAAATAGAATAAGTAATATTTTTTACTTAAATCTTTTGAAAATTAACAAATAAGAACAATAAAATAATGAATTAAAACTATGTCAATGATGATGTACAGTATTGTGCATGAAATCCGTCTAAAATATACTCCAAAAATTAATTCAAATACTTAGCTATATGATTTCATTTGTTTCCCTTTATGAAGGAGCTCATAGCTCCACTGTATGCTATAGATATCATATTTTAAAGACCATATACTAAGCATAATTCAAATGATTGTCTTTTTGATATATGGCTTGTTGATTCTGAGGTTAACCTTCCACCTGTAAATCATTGTTTAATCATGGAATTTTGTACTCCGTCTTCACATTATATCTATTACAAATATATTTGTTCGGTAATAATAATGACACAAATATAGTAAATTGTTATTACGTAAAGTTTAGAAATTACAATTACTTGAATAATTATTCCTCAATAAGTACATGAACGTTACTAGATAAGTTTTAATGAATTAAACATTTTCCGTTAAGTATTTTAAACATGTACATGATAAATAAAGTAGAAATCTACACAGAAATGTGGAACTTTTTAACTTTATCCCATTCAACTTGAATAAGATGGTTGAAGTAATTTTCCGAAATTTTATTTTTATTTGTGATAAAGTTTATATCCCTGTTTGTATTAAAATATTATCCTATATATTCGCATACTCCACAACAGCTTTGTTGTGAATATAAATATATTTATCATAAACTGCAATTAAAAATATTTTAAAAATTAGATAGTTTCTATACGAAGCACACTGAGATGTGCATGGATTCATTCCATGAAGATTGGTAGTAAAAATCAAAGTTATTTTTCAATGTGAAAACATTCAAAATTCTTTTAACGTGTAATCAAAAAAGAAAATTTTCTTGTGCAAATACAAAAAAACCTATAATACGACTATGAAAATTCATGACAATTGATAGTTATAGTATGCCTAGAATTTTAGACACTTTAAACAGAACTGTTCATGTAAGAAAATGTTTCTCGAATGAAATTATTACATCTCATGAAAGCTTCATTGATTTCCTTTTGGTGATGTTAACCAAATTTCGAACGTGTGTACACTTGATGATGCTTCCTTATACTTTCAAGTAATATTCATTTTCTCCCTACCTAACAAAAAGCTAATTATAAAGTTCCACCGTGAATACAAGTCTCAAAATTATTTAAAAGAGAATAGAATAATTGATAAGAGTGAAAGACAGCAAGAAACCAATATTACTACTCAAAAGTGAAGTCAACACTTTAAAATTTCTGGAGACAAAGGGATTGGAAAAAAGCAAGTACGAAATAATAAAGAAGGAAACTGGATACAGAATCACCTAAACGAGATTAATGTTTTAAACGACAGTAAGAGACTAAGTTTCTGACTTTCTATATTTACTTTTTTTTATTTGTTAAGTTAGATTTCTATGGGTGATTTGATCTGTAAATTAATGATAGCCAATCTACAGACCTGAAGAAAAGATGCCACATCATCAAATTAGACAAAATCACTAAGGATTTGTTTTAGGAACAGACCTAAATTGGTTCGAGAACTCACAACTATACCTATGTAAGCTGGTATTAAGTAGTATTACTGACGGCAAATTATAAATATTCAGAGTTTTCTGGAAATTCTGCCTATTCTAAATTTTTATTTTTCCCCGGCCTTTATTGCTGATAATGATCAGTCAGATAAGCGTTCCATCTGCTCCAATTAATAACGTACATTACTTTAGTATCAAAAAACCATTCAAAGTTGGTATTTTTCCTAAAATCTCGACTACATAACTACGTACCAGTTTAATATTTACGATGAAATCACTGC